TCATTTTCTATGTAGAAAAAAATAATCCGTCTGCATGTACTTGCGGCTTTGTAAATAAAGGTGCGGCAAAATTGCTAACTGTTTTATGTACTTTTTTAACAAAATACATACAATTACATGAGCTTCGTGTAATCTGTGTGTAATATGTCATCCATTACAAACAGTGCATAAAGTCCAACAACCCAGTATAAATTAATCTGAAGGTAATTAAAAATAACGGAAATAAAAAGTATAAATTTTAGGCTAAATAATTATTTAATCATGATACAATTTTAGGAATACAGAGCTGATTTTTTTCACATGATACATAATAACATTCCTGATAACTTTTATTGTTATGTAATTTCTTGGAAAGCTGATTGTTTCAGAAAAAAAATTTTAGTTTTTTTTTTTGTTTGGAGAAATAAACATTTTATTTTTTTATCTCGAATTGTAGAAAAATGTAATGTGTGCTTTATTTACAGTATAAGTCCAATCATTCTCTATCAAGAAAAAAACAATCCATCAGCAGGTACTTGCGGCTTTACGAGTAAAAAGATGTCAAAATGTTAGATTTGTTATTTATTAAAAAATAAAACACAATATACTAGTTTCTACTTAACTTTCGTGTTATTGTTATAACGCTCTGTGTAATTTAGCACTAAAATTAAATTTTCTTTAGTCGAAGCTCATGTATTTTGTTAAAAAAGTACATAAAAGAGTTAGCAATTTTGCCGCACCTCTACTTACAAAGCCGCAAGTACATGCAGACGGATTATTTTTTTCTACATAGAAAATGATTGGAACTATACTGTAAGTAACCCACGCACACTACATTTTCGTATATTTTGAGATAAAGAACAAAATGTATATTTCTCCACAAAAAAAAATTATATTTTTTTTCTCTGAAACTATCAACTTTTCAAGAAATCATACAAGAATAAAAGTTGTTAGGAGTGTTATTGTCTATCACATAAAAAAATTAGCTCGATATTCCACAAGTTATTCCTATGTCCAAGAATTATCAATTTGGGCCCACTGTGCGCCACCGCAAACGGATGACAATTTAGACTTCCTTTAGGTTATACTATATTGCTCAGATTTTTATAGATACTTCCAAGTATTCTTTTATTTTTTTTAGGATTTGCTGTTATTAATTAGTTAACAACGAACAATGCCATCTATTGATACGCATAAATATCGAAGTTCAGAGAATAATTTTAGTTTATTACTAAATATTTGAAAAACATTACAAGAAAAATAGAATATCTACTATATTTCCTATAAAAGAGGAGTTAATCGATATCCATGGCCATTTACGTAAATATAAACTAATTCCAGGCTATCGATCAGCGCCATCTAGAAATAAGACGGAATTTTGACCTTTTTCAGAGCTACGATTTTTAATATGGAGATTAGCAGTCCTCTTGGGTTATTGGTCCATGTTATAAGTCATCGCAAAACACTCTTGAAGAACTATCGGCCAATCTCGCTTTTGAGTCATATCTATAAGTTGTTTTCGAGAGTTATCACGAATCGTCTCGCTCGCAGGTTTGACGACTTCCAACCTCCCGAACAAGCCGGTTTCCGAAAGGATTTTAGTACCATAGACCACATCCGTACGCTGCGATAGGTTATATAGAAGACCGAGGAGTATAACCGGCCACTTTGCTTAGCGTTTGTGGAGAAGGCCTTTGATTCGAACGAAACCTGGGAGGTGCTGCAGTCTCTCCAAAGGTGCCAAATAGACTACAGGTATATCGAGGTGTTAAGGTACTTATACAAAAACGCCACTACGTCAGTCCGATTACAGGATCAGAGTTCTAATCCTATCCAACTGCAACGACGCGTGAGACAGGGAGATGTGATATCTCCGTAATTGTTCACAGCTGAGTTGGAGGATATTTTTAAGCTTTTGGACTGGAAAGGACTTGGCATCAACATCAACGGCGAGTATCTAACGCACCTTCGATTTGCCGATGATATAGTTCTTATGGCTGAGACCTTGGGAGAGCTGAACATAATGCTCGAAGATCTCAGTAGTGTTTCCCAAAGAGTGGGTCTTAAGATGAACATGGACAAGACGAAGATCATGTCGAATGCCCATGTTGTACCCGCTCCAGTTAAAATTAGGAGCACGACACTCGAAGTTGTTGACCATGACGTATAGGTACCTGGGACAGACAGTCCAGTTAGGTAAGTCCAACTTTGAGAAAGAGTGAGATAGAAACAGAAATGAGGAAATCCGTAGGAGGACTAAGGTAACCGACATAGCTCGAAGAATTGCTCAGCTGAAGTGGCAGTGGGCGGGGCACATAGCTAGGAGAACCGATGGCCGTTGGGGTGGAAAGGTTCTCCAATGGCGACCGCGCACTGGACGACGCTCAGTGGGTAGGTCCCCCCTCCAGGTAGCGACGGTACCGACGATCTGGTAAAGGTCACGGGAAGCCGATGGATGCGGGCAGCGTAGGACCGATCGTCGTGGAGATCGCTGGAGAGGCCTATGCCCAGCAGTGGGCTTCGTATGGCTGAATGATGATGATGATGAAGTCATCGCTAGGCAAAGATAATGTAGTGTGAGTAATGTTATGGTTATTTTTGTAACATGTCTATTCACTACACTACTACCTATAACTACAATATACTACTACCACCTTATAAAGTAAAAATGCAGCCTGTAAAACTATAGTTCGTTTCAATTCATTTAGCATAAAAGATTACCTACATAACATGTTTCAAATAAGATTTTAACATTCAAATGAATGTAGGACGGCAACACTAGGAGTGCGAGCGAGAAAGCATGTGTGAGAGGGAAGCAAAAAATGGCGCGACAGAGCTTAAGACGTTCAGTTCGGTTCCTTTTTTGTAAAATATAAAATAATTAGTTTCCCCGTGAATTTGTTTTTATTTCGAGCCACCACCCCACATATTTTTGGGGGCTCGTCCGGGATCAATAAAAAGACGCGCAAGATTCACGGGTTTTAAGACGGAAGAAGGCTTTGGAAAATTGAAGCCACTGTTCGATTACGCACGTGGCACCGGCAACGAAGCGTGCTGAAATTAAAAAGAGTTACGAGTATATTACGACGATTACGACGACTACGACGAGTTCAGCATGCCTAAAGACGCCAAAGAAAGACGCAAGAGCCGGCAGGATGATTACGAAGACGAACACGAAGAGCGCGAAACGAAGTGTAATGGCGGAACGAACATGTTACAAATGACGGCGGAACTTGTTCCCACGTTCAGCGGACGCGATAGTATATATCCAGTGTCGCGATGGATAGACGATGTTGAGACTAACGCAGAAATTTTTGGATGGAGTCCGCTTCAACAATTGCTAGTGGCACGGAGGTCACTCCAGGGCACGGCGGAACTTTGGTTGCGGGCAGAACGTCCTTATAAGAGCTGGGACGACCTGAAAGCGGCGATAGCAAGAGAATTTAATGATACAGTTGATGTGAAAGCTATACATGAGCTCATGAGTGCACGGAAGAAGCGGCCAAACGAAACTTGTCTCGATTATATGCTTGTAATGAAGGAGCTAGGAAAAAGGGGCAAGATGGCAGACTATGTCGCGATAAAGTATATAGTGGAAGGCATAATCGACATTGAAACGAATAAAATCATGCTGTATGGCGTAACGACTTATGGCGAATTGAAAGAAAAATTGAAAATATATGAAACAGTGAGTAGCAAGATGCAAAAAGTGACACCAGCGCAAAAAAGTTATAGTGCAAACACAAGAAGCAACACACAGACGAGCGGACGGCGGATTCGATGCTACGGGTGCGGCGAGCTAGGACATACGTCATCCGATTGCCCTCACAAAAGTAAAGGCCTGAAATGTTTTAAGTGTAACGCATTCGGCCATGTTGGATCAGCGTGCACAAACGTCAAAAACGAAGCTGTAAATCGTCAGCATTATGATCGGAGATCGTCGGGCAATTTCGGCATACAACGACGGGGCTACCAACC